AAGGTTGCTTTGTACTGAGTTATTGCTTTTTATTCTTATTTATGTATTTATTTATTTGACAGCTCACATTGTATCTTCTCCCCTGGGTGTGTCATTTCTGCTTGGCAACTGATGTCTCAAGGTTTTTATCTTTTTTTTTTTTAATTAATAACAAGGTATTTGGTTAGAATGTTCATCCATCACATTGCAAGGTTTTCTGGTATTCCTTATAAATTTTGCTCACCTTTTTAAATTTTATGTTTACACTGATTCATGCTGGATCAGCTCCTTTTAATTTTTCTCAGCATTGAATTAGTTGGACTTTCCTGACTGTCTGTCTGTGGGAGGTGGGTATATTCACTGTTTTGGAGGTTTTGGTTTCTCGATGTTTTCTGAAATTTGCCACTGCTTGCTATTCACCAATTTTCACTACGTTTCCTCTCCTACTCTCACGTAGTTTCCACTCAGTCTCCACCCCATCTTCCCAGAGCCTTCAGCCCTCTGTTTGTGCAAGAGATGTATGTTCGTCACTTCAGTGTGTATCCTTGTAGACAGGAAGTATATTTCTGAAATCCACTGTCACAGGGCCACCTTTCTGCTCGGAGCAGGGTCCTCCAAACAGCCACAAATTATGTTCAGTTGTTTAAAGAGCCAGGACAGGATTGATGCTCACATGTTGACAGCTCCCCTTTTTTACTCTCCCTCCAGGGGTCTCAACTTTCCTTCAGAGATGTTAGGAACGAGGGCAGTTTGCTTAAAGCAGTAGGCTGCCTCCATCACTAAGAGTCCAGTTTGACTCACAAACCCCTGGGGTGAGTTCTCACTGTGACACCCATGGGCGGAAGAGAAGTAGAGTAAGTAAAACAAATCGCTAATCCCGCGTGACTGACACAATCCAGCGTGACTGACCCTGACCACGGGCAGTACTCAGAGGCTCACAGACACCCATCCTTGGACTTATGTATTTAAATAAACCCCAAACCCTCCTCTCCTTTCTCTGTTCTTCCTTTCACCCCACTTGGTTTCCACCCAGCACCTCCATCCTGCCACCCACCAGGCAGCCCCAGCGTGTGCTGACTTCCTGCCCAGTGCAGGCCCCTCCACCAGCTCCTTTGGGAGGAGGGTTTGACCTCCTTGCACATTTGGCACTGTGCTGTCCTTTGTTGATGATAAACCTGTTGCTTGTTGGTTTCCTTCTAATTTTTTGTAAACTATATAGTATGCGTCTAAGATACCGATTTTGCAAAGAACCAGATGTTATCACAAACACCAATTGGCGTTTAAATGATCTTTTTTCACTTGTTTGATCATACATTTAGTTCTTGTAAACATCAGCTTGCATTATATTGGCCTGTTTTTCCACTTGATTTTTGTACTTTTGGTAATGTTTAGTGCAAGCATGTTTTTCCTTACATATTTATGACCAAACTTACCCCTTACCATTCTACTTTCTGTTACTGCACCTATGTTCTATGCTTCCTTAATTTTAAAAATCTCCCTAGAAAGAGAAACTCAGTTAAAATGTACATTTTTGTGGCATGTTTTTTCTTTATCTTTCTCCTTTTACTTTTTAGCTGATTTTGATACTTCTTCACCAACATGCTTTCTTGTTTATTTGATTATCAAAGTTTCCAGTGCATCAGGGTCCACCTAACATTTTCTGACATCTGTAGGATCTTCCTCCCTTGTAGTGAGGCACGGTGAGTCTCCTGCAGGTAGAGAAGCTGGTTCAGATTTGCCATCTGAGAGGCACAGCCACGTGGTAATAAAAATAATATGGAAATAGAATGTAGAGCCCCTGCTTGTGCAAAGTGAATCATTGTTGGGTAAGTGGCCATAAGCGTGACACAACCTGCAGGCGTGCATGTGTGCTGGCTGAGAGAGCGCCACAGTTTTCAGAGGATGCCTCTGTCTGCTGTGCAATCACTGCTGGCCACACTTAGGAAAGACTGTAATTTACTGCTGGGAAGATAAGAGAGACAGCTCTTCACGGCCATCCTTTAAGACCTTTAAAGGTCATCCCTGGCATCACCAAAAATCCTCTAGTCCGCTTGCATCCTTTTCTAGCAAATAAACCACATTTCCCAGAGACCTTTGGAATATCAATATTGTTCCTGTGATAGATACCCCTTCTGACTGTGTCCTGCTTCAGGTTCCTCTCCTAATAGAAAAAGACAGCATCCTGCATTTTCAAACTCTTGCTTCTAAAAAAATAAGTGTATGACTCTCATAATTTCTGTTAATCAATAGACAGCCTTTTCAGTAAACAATTTCAGAGACAGGCTATGTTTTTCAGGCAGTTCTGTTTCATCTTCTCTTTGCATCATTATGAATCTGTGATGCTCTGATATCCTAATGCAACCTTGCTTTCTTTCAACATCTAGAATTCACAAAGGAATCCTGATTGGTTTTTTCCCCCTGCCCAGAAATATAGAATCAACTCTCCTCTAAGGGCATTTGTTCCTTTCACTGGAGAATAGTTTTAGAAACCACAGCACTAGTCCTACAAATAAACTTGTCCCACATTCTGACTGGAATATGGCAGATGGCAGCAAAGATATCCAATGGCATAAATCACCGTAGGGACAGAACAGATAAAGCCTCCTTTAAAAATATGTCCAGGGGTTCTTCGTATTTCCAGTTCACCTCGATTGTAATAAATTCTTCTTGCCTTACTCTAATAGAAGAGTTTATTAATCCATCTTTTCAATTTTTGAACAACTTACTTTTCTTGTTTCCATTAGCATTAAATTTTTAAAAGCAATATGTTATCACACCAAACCGTAAGTGTAAATATGAGTATCGCCTCCCCAAATGCAGAAGGCTCCACGTCTTTTCTTCCATCTCCACCCTCAGCTCAGCCATCCTGAAACCGGCTTCACAGTGGTTTCCATCGATTCTTTGGTCCTCATCTTAGCACCAATATCTGAAAGGAAAGAAACCCTAGGCTCCATCTAGGGGAACACCAAAGAAACTAAGAGGTCAAAATGCTCAGGGTGAGACACAGGTACCCATCTGCTTAATAAAAGGTAATAATAAAATGTAGAATATAGACAAATAACACTTCTCAAAGTTATAAAAAATCCTCTGTCAATTTCCTCCATTAGCGCTCCCCAATTTGAATTTATTTTCCCTTTATATTTTTTCTTTCACTCATGTCATTTTATATTTAGGGGACAACATTTTTAGTAAAAACCTGTAGTTTCACACAGGTCCATGGGGTATATACAGTGGCCTGTACCAACTCTCAAGGGTCGACCGTGCACATCTCTTTCCTATTCTGCATTCAGTGATACCCATTCATGGCTTGCAATCAGCCATAGTGGAAGTATTTACACCATGGAAATTGGCAAACACTATCAATCAGGACTTTCCACCCAGAAGGCCAGTTTTTAAGCATTTACTGGGACAATTCTGGGTACATATCTCAGTTTTCCCCAAAGGGGTCAAAATGTCAGACCATAAAAATCAACTGACATACAGAATTATCAGAGTAATATGCCAAACATTATGGCTGAGAATTCCCACTCAAGAAATTTACATAGAGGAGGGTAGGGGTATAGCTCAGTGGTAGAGTGTGTGCTTAGCATGCACGAGGTCCTAGGTTCAATCCCCAGTACCTCCATTTAAAAAAAAAAAAAGGTTGATTTACACTTAGTAGGCATTGAATAGATACTGGTTAAGTATTTAAAAAAAAACAAATTTACATAGAGTAACTTTTGGAGCTTTGTAATTTTTGTAATATTTACTGCATAGTGCTCCCTGGAACCAACCCTTAAAAGACAAAAAATACAATTGGATTAGAGTGCATTTTAGTTATAATTCCATTTAGTTATTCACCAGTTTCAAGTAATTTCCAGATGTTTTTGATCCATCCCCAGAGGGCTTTATTTCCACAACAGACAACATAGAGAATTCAGCAATTTCTAGTCATTAACATTTCTGTGCTGATATGCAGGGGTTTTTTTATATGAATTACTACACACCATGCTCTCTCCTCAGTGTCATGTTCTGTAGTAACTGTGTGTCTTCTGGATAATATGGAGGACAGAACCCAGCAAGTTTGGAGTGTGGGGTCTGGCTTTGCCAAAATCTAACATGGACTAAAGGAATATTGTTTCCTTATTGGGTCTAAGTGGGGCTGGCCAGCTAATTTGTTCTCTGTAGTGGTCTGTCATGGCACCCCCAGTGTTATTCCCAGGAATGGCATGGACTCAGATATCTCATCACTGGAAACTGTACACAGTAGAGGTTCTCATTTTATTGTTCATTTAGCACCTGAATGTAGGCAGGGAACATTTCTACCTGAAGGCTCTGTGTAGCTCGATTTCCCTGCCTTTTTATTGCCACTTCCCCAGAGAAGTGACGTCCCCAGGTGGGGAAGCCAGACACCTGGCCTCGCCCTCCCACTGCCCTGGGACAGGACCTGGCCTGCTTCCTCTTTCCAGGAGTGTGATGTTCAGAGCTAGAGCTCACCTGAGTCTAGACGCTTCCTCCCTACTACCTGGCACTCCCTCTCCTTGAGCACTGCCTCTGGCACTGCCCCTATATTCTCACTTGCCTTTCAAGCTTGGCTAGGTCTGGCTGTGTTCACTCAAAGATACAGATCCATGGCCTTGTTGGTGTCTCAGGCACCTGCCTGTGCATGGCCACCACAGCTCCCAGCACAAAACTGACCCCACGCCCTCGCTCACCTTAGCTCTGAGTTTCCCTCCATCTAATACTGCCCTTTTTACATCCCTCCACATTCTACAACATTCTAGTATCTTCTACTGTGCTTTCTTACCTCTTACTAAAGGAAGGTTGGGGGGTGGGGAGGTATATTCTAGCTCCTCCCCCCTTCCCCATGTCAGAAACTAGCAGAAGCCCAGTACAGCCCAGATTTAAAAACTGACTCAGAACAAGTATTGTTTTCTAAGACTTATAACCTTGGAGAGACCCCAGGTTGATCATTCATCTCCCTTACTGCCCCAGATGCATTTGTATCTGGCTAATATATTGTTGATCATTTCTACATAGCTTTTAATTTCTGTTATTTCTCCAATCCAGGAATTATTTCAAGTCTTCTTTTTGGTTTCCAAGACTAGAGATATTTCTTGGATTGCCTTTTATTCTGTTGTCATTTTTTAAAAAATTCTATTGCATTATAGAGAGAGTGTGAGATCATATGGCTTCTGCATTTGGGACAATTATAGCATTGTGGGTGGTTAAAATTTATGCATAGGACATCATATTGTATTTACCATCTACTTTTTGCTTTTTTATGTTCCTCATTTTGTCTTCCAAATTTGTCTACCTGGTATGAGTATATTTGATTCGTTTGTTTTAACTGCTATTCAGGGTTTCATTTATGAATATTACATTACCGATTCATTCATTCTGTTGATGGATATTTTGATTAACTTCTTTCTCTCTCTTTTTTCAATGGCAAACAATGCTTCACTGAACATGTATCTTTTTTTCTTTCTATAAATGCAAGTTTTCTCAGGATTGGTGCCTAAAATTATAATTACTTGATCATAGGTTATAGAATATCCTGTTTTGCTAGTACCCCAGAAATGTTGTAATAGTTTATGAATTCTCATCAGTGGCTTACATCCTTTCCAACACTTGATAATTTTTAATTTTTGCCGTTACAATGGTTGTTCAACAATATCTTTGTTTTTACATATCCCTGAAGAAAGATATATATCTTCAGATTGAAGAAACTTGAGTCCTGAGCAAAAAAAATAAAAATAAATCCATACTTAGTGACATCATAGTGAAACTTCAGAACACCAAGACCAAGAGAAAAATTTTAAAAGCAACCAGAGGGAAAGCACAATTTACTTACAATGGAAGGACAAGTAGACTGACAACATATTTCTCATGTCAATTATAGAGGTCAGAAGACAATGGGATGATATCTTCAAAATACTGTTGGGGTTAAAAAAAAAAAAACCTGTCAAACTCGAACTCAATATTATTCTCCCAATGGTTGTGTCCATGCATCCTCTGCTGGCCTCCCCCACCTTATTCAGAAATAGATACTGCTCCTTGACCAAAAGGATGGTAGATGTCTGAAGCTGAGCACATCCTAGAAACTCATTCCCTCTGTTCACATGATTGGTCCAGAGAGTAGGCACAGAAACTAAGAAAGACAGAAATCGCTTTGGTCACTCTCCGTCCTGCCCTCTCCATGCTTTGCAGATGCATCCTCTTTGTTTTTGTTCCTTGCATCTGAGAGTCTTGAAAGGGAGCTTTTGGAAGAAATAAGGAGGGGGAGAGAGAGAGACAGAGAAAGAGTGGGGACGGTGGGGGAGGACACTCTAAGAAGTTCTACTCAGAGTTCATTTTTTTACTGACTGGAGGTGTAGGAGTGGTAGAGGGCAGATGGAATGTGCGGACTGAAAAGATGTAGCCCAACCACTGTTGGCAACCAAGAAAAGCAATAGACAAAAGCATTGTCCATCAGTGGATAAACTCTGAATAGGCTCCGCCTGCCAACGATTTCCATCTTGGGAAATAGAGCATCTCAGTTTGTGTGCTCTCTCACTACCAGCACAGAAACCACGTGAATCTGAGTGTCCCTGTGTTATATCTATGTTTTCTTTATTCAAGCCAAAGACAACATGGTCCATGTAAATCACAGAATTTTAGAACTGGAAGATTTCACAAAGGTCTTTTAATCTAATCCTTTCATTATATAGGTGGGTAAATCAAAGACCACAGAGTGAGTTGCTTGGAGTAACATAACTAGTTAATGACAGATCTGGACTAGAACCTGGATCTCCTAACCCCCGAGTCACTTCTGCCTCCCCATTTGCTATGCTATCTCGGCATCCATAGGGACTGAATTTTTGGAGTAACTTTCCTAATGTCCTAGCATCATGCTTTCTGTAGTAGTTGTTTTCTAAATGCTGGCTTTTTAGTGTGCCCTTTTTTTCTCTTCCCTTTTCTCTCCATTTTTCCTCTGCTGGAAAGTTCTTGGGTTTGATAATAAAGCAGATGTCCTACAACCCTACCATGAAGCTGAAGACCCTACCACTCACTGGGCATGGGAGGAGTTAGCTCATGCCTGGTGCCATTATAACAGCCAAATGGAGTGGGGAAAGGTGTCTTGGAGCAGATAGTACAGTCATACAGGAAAATCAAGTGTGGCCCAGCAATCTGGAGTGGACTCCGCTCCTAACCTAAGGGCTCCTTGAGTTCATACTCAGCATTAGCACATCCCCAAACGAGAAAAGCCTAACTCAAAAAAAAAAAAAAAAAAGCAAAAGAAAAGAAAAAAGAAAAAAAGCAGCCTTCAAGAAACATTGAAGTAGAGAGGACATATCTCAGAATCCATTTGGTAAAACTTAGTTAGATTTTGCCATCAAATCTTTAAATTCTCTTTCTAAAATCTTTCTGTTCATATGCTTTACTCCGGGGGAGTTTCTCTCCTGCTCCCCCCCATCCCACAATTCCTAAATTCCCCTTCTTTTGGCCAGAGCTCTTTAGCCCTACCCCAGGACTGTAAACACCACTTGGCAAGGCAAAGTACTTTGGTTCGTGTTCCTCACGCCTGCCCTACCTCAGGGAGCTTCGTTCAGTTTATTTAGCCAGGGGGTACGTTATAGTGTACACATGGTTTTATGTCCAGAGTATGGGACCAATGTATCCTTTTTCTCATCGCAATATGGCTCCAGACATTGTTCTATATCAATAAACAGATTGGCTACACTGATCACAGAAGTCACCCCAGAAGTCAGGTTCCTGGAGTTCTAGATGACTAAAAAGTAACCTCTGTCCACTAGCTCCCTTCATAATTGTCCCTCTGAAATTTTGTTTCCATCTAAGTGTGCTAAATCTTTTAGATTTAAAAATTTCATCATCTTTGTTCTACCAAGTTGCCCCGTGAGGAAGGGAAGGTGAGGTAGGCGTCATCCTTCCACTTTTGCAATTAAAGAAACCAAGATGTTGATAGGTTAAATGACTTGACCAAAGGCAGACAGCTGATGAGAAACAAAACCATGTCCCAGCCCAGTTTTTGTTAGGGAAATAAATGCCCTTTCCAGAATCCAGTCTTCTTGCCCATGTTCATGAAACTTTTTTTGAGCCACTACTTTCAGTGCCAACAATTGGAAAACTTATTGATTTACTGTATTTGCTTTCATGTGAAGGTATTAAATTCTTGCAAAATCACCAAAATGTGTGAAGTATCAGGAAGTTGAGTGTATGTTTAGAAACCAGATAATTAACTTTCCTAAAAAAAAAAATCAAGGTATATATTAGAGGTTAATATATTCAAATGAAATTTTACTTTATAAATATTAATACTGGATAAAGCCTAAATAGAAATACTCATAGGAATATTGCTCAGGGCAGAAGAAAAAAATTGTAGGCTCAAAGAAGTTTAGTTCAATGGATTATTTTCCAAAAGCCAGCTTTTGTTAGCTTAAGTAAGATCAAGCACCCTGGTCGTGAGAGTTACTCTGTGGGATGGTGGCGAGGCTCCGTGGGGGGTCTGACTTCGTATTATTATCTATGTCTAGATACTCTGACTAGTGAAGGCAGAGAACCCTGCAACAGAGGAAGGACTGCCCACTTCTGCTCTGAGCAGATGGCATTAGTTCACATTTGGTCTTACACTGCCTTAGAGTCTCTGGCTGCAGCCTTTCAAACGAAATGCCTTAATCCTCACTGGGGCCAGGACGTGTAAAATAATCACATTTTTTTGTCAAAGTCACAGACATAATCCCTAAGTAGATGATCTGGAGGACGAGAGCAAGCTGAAAATTTCAGGAGGAAGTGTCTCGCTGCAAGTCGTGCAGCATCTGGGACCTTTTGTGCAAAAGCTGATACCTCGCGCATCTTAAGAAAGACAGTGACACATTTATGTTAATGAGGATCCTTTTCTTACTATTATTATTCTCTTTTAAAAAGGAGTTGCAAAGATGGTCCAGTTCTGGGTAAAGTCTGCTCATCATAGCAGTGTGGAAAGTATGCCAAATCCACACTCGGCCAAGTCAATAGCATGGTGGATATGGGTGCTGAAAAGGGAGCCAGAGGGGGGATTCAAGGCCATGTTTTCTTTTCTTTTTTTTTTTCGGGGGGGTGGGGTGGTTGTTTACTCATTTGTTTATTTTTAGGGGAGGTACTGGGGATTGAACCCAGGACCTTGTGTGTGCTAAGCATGCGCTCTACCTCTTGAGCTATACCCTCCCCCCTCAAGGCCATGTTTTCCAAGCTGTTTCTATAAATCCCAGAAAATGACAGTTGTCCATATCGTATAATCGAGGGGAATGAGAGACAACATAGGGGTATGGAATCCAAGGTCCCTGCTCTTTTGAGGACTGCGTTCTAATGACGGAGACAGGTGACAGCCATACAAGGTAGTACAGGAGGTAAATACAAGTGGTGATGAGAACTCTGACTAGGAGATGAGCATCCTGTTTCCCTGTTTCACCGAGGGAGCGCTTCCTACGTGCCAGCTCTGTGCTCATTACTGTACATGCTTTTCCTATTCAATGGTCCTCGCCTGTAAAATGAAGCCTGTAGAGCTCCCGCCACTTACCCAACTTCACACAGCCAGTGACACTCAGGCAGGGGTGTGGCCACAGCTTTGATTATTTTCAGATCCCTCACACTGAACCACCGCACGCGCCACCTCTCCTAATAAGGGTTAAGTGATAGCTGCCGTGGTCAACTCCCACGTCTGCTGAGCGTGTGAGAGCCTCCCCTGTCCTGTGCCTTTGGCGCAGACCTGTACCCAAACCCTCCCACCTACGAGAACGCCAACCAATAAAGCGAGCGCTCACTAACACAGGATACACCAAGGGCACCTGTAGCCTTGGCAGCCAGCCCCGTGTGGATGGAGGAGATGGTGTTACACGCTCGGGTGCGCTCAGCCATCTGCTGGAATAGTTGTGTGAGCTCGAGCGTCTCAAGTGGTGGTCTGGCCACTCTGCCCGATGGATGGAACTTTCACTTCTGAGTCTTTACTTACATAGTACTCAGTAAATCTCTAAACCAGTTTTCCTTCAATATGTTTTCATTACTTATTCAGTCCCCAAATATTGACCTTATTGGCCAGTGACACTGGTGGTGAGCAGCTTGTCTGTGAACTTGAGGACAGACTCTTTTGTTTTGACCTCTTGGGTATAAGTTTAAAAGTGCTTACTGCTCCAGGGTCCCATGTGAAAGGAGAGCTCCTAAAAAAACATGGGTAGAGGGCAAAGGTCAGGTAGTCCCCAAAAACATTTATAAATAGGGGCTCAGATGTTGAGACAAAATGAGTTTTCTATTTAGAAAGAAAACACACACACACACATACTTGATTTTTACCTCTGTGTAAATAATGTCCTGGGTTAAACAAGTTCATTGCCGTAATGCACCCCTTGTATGAGAAAGTCTCTACCTAACATTATTCTAAGTCAGTTATATCCCCGCGGGGGTTAGAAGTGTTCAGAAAACAGAGCTGCCTTAAGAAACAGCTTTATGAAGCTTTGTTGGGTGATATGTGTACACGAAAGTGTTTCATTTTCACAGCAACTTGAGCTTCACAAGTTGAGGCAGGAAATGGGAATGACATGCCAACCAAACCTTCTTCTGTTTGGGCAAGGAGCACCACAGGGTTTACCCCTGCCAGGAGCCCTGGACTTCCCATCTGCTTGTTATTTTGAGCACAAGGAAGACGGGGAATCAGGGAATGGAAGGGAGGGAACCCACCTCTCCCAGAGCACATGAAACAGCACAAAAGAAACCACATAAAGGGAAGAATCTCTCACTCTCTTTCTCTCTCTCTCTTTCTCTCTCTCTCTCTCTCTCTCACGCGCGCGCACACACACACACACACACGTTTGATGCTAAATGCTCCCAGCTCTTCCTTTGGACTCCAGAGGTTCTCTTATTAGGACTCCAAAGCCTCACTGAAGGGAAACTTACACCAGAAGAAAGGGGAAGGCATCACGTGAAAAGCTGGGTTCAAGTATTTGAGGACTTTTGAAGACTTGAGACAGTGAAAGTCTCAGCAAATTAAAACTGTAGGTGAAAGCAAGTTAGGGAGGTAGCTTCAGCAGTGACGGAACCAGCCTAACTCAGGAGAGCCCATCTGCAAGGCATGATGGCCCTTTGACACAGGCCATTTGGGGAAGCAAAGACAATTGGGATTGGAGAGACCTGGAGCCAGGGTGCACCCGGATGTGGGTCAGCACCCCTCTCAGGTTCATCCTTGGTCACCTGACAGTACAGACCTGCATGAATCAAAGTGGTGCCAGTTTGGGCAAGATCTCAGTTAGCAGCTGGGAACAAGACCTGGAGAAGGCAGTGAAGACGGTGTGAAACCCAGAGCAAGAAAATTGTATAAAGGTTGTTGGTGGCTCTGCTGGAAATCTAAACACCAAGCTCTTTGGGGAATTTAAGCTGTAGGAAAACAGATGAGTGCAGGAAAGAGACGGAAGGGAGGCAGGAGCTAGAAGGAGAAGAAGGGGTGGCGGTTGGAGGGGGGCAGAGTGGAGAGAAGGCTGTGGTCTCCTTTGCCCTCCCAGCCCTACCCACTGAGATCAGTGAGCAAACCAAATACCATCTCAAGTCTCAGAAGGAAGCCATGGCTTAGAAAAGCAATGGAGCTGAAGTTCTCAATAAATATGCAGCTAAAACTATGTCATCATGATCTTTGCATCTGAGGAGGAAAGCCATAGGGAAGGAAATGAGCAGGATCATTTTAAACATAAAGATTTGGTTGGCAGATTACCACAGAAGAAGATGAAAAGTCAGGGAATTCAGATGGTACCAAAATCCGCGTTAACAAGAGTTGAGGAAAACAGACACCATTAACATTCCAAGCCAAATAATGAGGTGTCAGCAAGGCATCAGCTGGAAGAAAAAAGCTGGAAAATGATTCCTTTTTTCACTGCTTGTGGCCAAAGCTCTAGTTGAAAATAAATGCAAAATCTTGCAGCTGGCAGCAGAGATCCTTAATGATCTCCATCAGCAGAAAACTAAGATTCTGTGCAAGGGTCTGACTCAAAAAGCTTACAATCCAGAAGAGAAAGAACAGAAGCCATCAGCTGCAGATGGGGATGTTCACAGAGAATTCAAGAAACGGAGGGTGAATTATAGTGAAGATAGATTATATAAAAATTTGTTGGATCATCTTGTGGGGAAAAAAAAAAGCCCAAGACACCAGGCTTTTTCTTTCTGATGCATTAAGATTTCGTTCTGGAGAGAAGAGAGATACTGCCTTCTGGAGACAGAAATTGCAGATAGCAAACCCAAGGATTGGTGTATTATAGAGATCTCAGAAATAAATCACATCCAGGAAGTCCACTAAGTCCCATCAATGAGAGGTCCTGGAAGCCAGGCTCCTTACCACCCACTCTACCCCAGTGCTGTTCCAACTCTTTCTTGTTATAGAAGAGGCACACCTGCAGGGGAATTAGTTGAGAATGGGCTGCCACCTGAGTAGAGGGACCTATGAGGTGTCAGGAAAAACTTTACCCTCTGATCTGCAAGCAAACATGACTTAATCGATGAAAAATTGCCAGAATGTCTATTGAATCCCACACCCTCTGAATGACAGACTACCCAACCCTCCTTGAAGGTGGACACAATAGGAATATCTCCATTTCATCAGTATTGGAACAGATCTGCCTGGAGGTCAACATGGGGCTATGCATGGACCACCACCTGGACCAAAGGACTATGTTCAGTGTCTGAGAAAATATCTGCCTCTAATATTGGCCTTAGTGTGGCTTCGTTAACAAAGAATGGCCCCATGGGGGAAGGGTATAGCTCAAGTGGTAGAGCGCATGCTCAGCATGCAAGAGGTCCTGGGTTCAGTCCCCAGTACCTCCTCCAAGCAGAAATCAATGAAGAAACCTAATTACCTCCCCCTCGGAAAGCAAACAATACAAACAAAGAATGGCCCCAGGAGCTCTTACTGTCTGCAGGGAGGGCTGGTTTGGCTAATGCTGATGCCAATGACTTCCTGTCTTTATCAAGAATATCTGTCATTAATTCAATACATAAAGAACTTCCACTGCCATCAGCCACTTTCTCAAACATGAACCCAGACATTCCCAACCTTTTTTTCCTGGTGAGCTTATATCTCCTTGCTAAAAGAGACTTTAGAAACGTAGACCCTCTTGCCATAAGGAAGTACCATCTTTCTTGACCTTAATTATTTAAGATGATCGACCTTTCTCTATCTGCAAAATACATACAACCTTTGGATTCCAGAGAGGAGCCTCTCCAGATATCACTGTTGGCTCCCATTGGCTTCCAGTCTCAGTTTATGAATGGACCTTTGGGACAGTTCAAGTGCTTCAAAAATCCAGTGTGAATGTTACTTTGGTAATTAGATTAATACTATTTTAGAGCTTAGTTTTATTGCTAAGAGATCTTTTTGAATCAAATCACTCAAATCTGATCGATCTGTGATTTGCTATAGGTAAGACCACCCCTTCAGCTGTAGCCTCTCATTTTCTCCACTCTCCTCAGACCCTTTTTCTGTACTATTACTGTAGTTTATATAGTGAACGTAGCTTGTGCAACAGAGATGGGGTTGAATATAATCCACATTGAATGTAATACTTTTACATAGATTTGCTTAAAAGGAAAAGTGTAGGAATAATTATCAGGACTGTTTGCTAATCTATATCCTTTTGCTCATCCGTTCTTTGGATAAACCTTGATAAAAAGTCAAAACACTCAACTTGGTGGTAGATGAACTGTTGCCTAAGAGGAGATAATTAGTTGCTGAAAGACCCATCAACTAAACCCAAACCTACAAGGTGATGCCAAAGAATACACTCTTCAATTCAAGAAACCATTTAGAAAATTACTAACATAAGTATTCTATCAATATTTTCTCTCAGTCGTGAAAGTGGAGATTGTCAGACTCTTCTACCCCAGTGGGACCCTTTATTTGCATAAAATTAGAAGTCAACATAGACCCTAAAAGCTGCTTTAGTTGACGTGGAAGTGACCTGGACCCCTGTCAGCTCCACCTTCCCCTCATCTCGTAAGGTGGCATCTACAAGTACCCCAGGGCTCCCCCAAGCTCAGTCTGGTAACTTTTAGGTTCCAACATAATAGCAGTAAGGTCAAGGTTATGGTTTCAAAGGCCCTGGAGGCCATAACCAACTTCTCCTGTTTACAAACATAAAACACTACGTGGTACAGGATAGATACATAGTTGATACTTAATAAAGAGAAATTGTCATCACTATCCTTAACCAGCACTCTTGCAAGTGTGTACCTGTGTTACAAATAAGAAGAGTCAGTATGCAAAATATCTCCAAATTACAAATATACACCCTACTGTTAGGTCAACAGCATCATCTTTGTCTGTTAAAAACAAACACTTCATTTTATTTAAGCAGAGATCGTAAGTACCTGCTAATGATGTTATTAGTGGGACTGAGATGTGTACCATGGAGTCGGGCAAGAAGCTCCCCCAGGACCCTTTCAGAGTTTTCACATTTCTCTGTGTTAGGACAGCAGCCCAGATGGACATTCAGCAAATCACTGTCTCACAGCACAGCCCCATCTCACTGTGATCTTTCAGCACTTTTGCAGCTTCCCATAGTGAAAGCTGCTCCTGATTCTATATTCCTTGGGAAGATCAGACTCTGCCTTTTTTCCTCCAACTATTATATCTTCCATCTGAGACCATATGAGTCTCCAGCTTAGACCTTAGATTTACATTTAAATGTGAAGTTGTAGGCAATGACTTAATGGCAGAATATTGCCTTGAACTGTAAGTTAACTAAATAGTTAATTGAATTTATCTGGAGAAAGGTTTTTTTAGACGATTTCAAAGAACTTATATGAACTGATTTCTTTATAATCCTCTCCGCTGTCCTCATATCTCTGACATCCAACACCACCATAACCACCAGCTGTGAACAAACCGCTTTGCCTCCCACTTCCAAAGAAAATCAAAGCTATAGGCAGGAATGCCACAAGCTCCTGCCACTGGCCAGAGTCTACACTCTCCTTTCCTCCTTCCCTTTTGTCCACTGAGAAGGAACGCCGACTCCGCGCCTGATCTCACCTGTGCCCCGGCTTCCTCCCACCAACCTCCTCAGTTCTCAACTCCACCAACTATCTCCTCCTCTTTCTTCTGACACCCCCCCCCCGCTGCCTCCTTCCCAGCAGTATTCAAATGCCCCAGTGTCAGCTGAGTTTGTGGGACGCTCCAGCTGTTGCCCCATCCTCTGCTTCCCTTCCTGGTTAAACTCAGTTGAAGGAGTTGCATCTACCTTCACGCAACCCTGTCCTCACCTCCCTTCACTCCCACAGAGTGTGCCCTGCAAGGTCACCCTACAGGGATCCTTGCAGCTTGATACAATAGTCACCTTTGATTTCTCAAGAGGATCTAAACTTTTGGAAAATTATTCCTATTTTAAAAATAACAAACAAACATCCATTCAGTCAACAAGCATTTATTGAGGTCCCTCTAGCGCTGGGAAGTCAGAACATGGCAGTCAACAGGTGTTGGCAATCATGGAGTTTACATTAGGAGGAGAAGGGGACCCAAGCCATAAACAGATAAATAAATGAACAAGATAATTTCAGAGGGTGATAAGTGCTGTGAAGACAAACAAAACTAGAGTGATGGGAGAGAGAGTAACTATGAAAATCATGCTGTCTCCCCAAGGGAAGCTTCTCTGAGATGATATTTGAGCTGCTGGCATTAGTGCAAAGATCTCGGGCCAGAACAGCACAGGCAGAGTGAACAGCAAGAACGGAGCCCTGAGGTTGGCACCAGCATGGAATAGATGTGACAACGTATTGTTTACACACAAAAAGGGAGAGAATGGAAAGAGGAAAGAGAGTGTGGTCTTGCTGGGAAGGGAAAGGGCTTCTGAGTGACAAGTGAAGAGGACCACGCCTGGAAGAATAATGAGCCTTGTACCCTCCAGGGGCCTCCTAGGTAGAAGTTGGAGTGGGTGGAGGATCTGATCCTCTATCTTTCACCCTTCAATCCTAACTTTACAAGCTAATAAGCAAATCAGGAGCTCAAAACAAGCTGGAATGGCTTCTGGAATGGACCCCGCCAGAGCCTGAGAAGAGACGGATCCCCTCAACCCGCTCCTTCAGTCCCTCAGCTCTGAGCTGAGTAGGGAAAGTAGCCCAAGAGGGGCTCCCAAGAGGCCACTGCTGGGCACACAGTGGGACCCAGAGTCAAGGTCAGCCCCTGAGGGAGCGTGTTAGAGTCCAGTCTTTTCTTCTGATCAGCTTCAGGGGTCAGGGTGCTGGAAGGGCATGGACTTGGAAGGGCTCTCCAGTGTTTGTGCCTGGGAGAGAAAATGAGAGCCCTGAGATATTCTCCTGAAGCCAAGTTCCTCAACAGACACACACACACACACACACACACCCCAATCCACAGGAGCACCAGGTGATCTAAGGGTCCTCCGTCTAACCTGGGGGCTGCCCCCCAGCATATGTATGTGTGTAGAGTGTGGTAGAACCAGGGTAGAGTTGGGGGGGTTAGTTCCTATGTCCCTGATTGAGAGCCCATACTCAGGACCAAAGTTCTTTGCAAGAGTGTGGGGCTACGGACAGTGGGAGCAAATCTAAAAGAGAAGGCGGTGAGAAGTCCGCCCCAGTCCTGCTCCATTATAATTGGGTTCAGGCCCTCACCCACCACGGAATGGCCTCCAGCGCAGGGAGGGAAGTCTTGGCCTGCTCACCTGCCCTAACTCACCCCTTCCCACTCTTCATTCTCCTCTCCTAGTTTTCCTGTTGCTACGCAGTATGTGGGGGGCCCAGCCAGGGAGAGCATGGAGTTGGGGTGACCAGACCTCAGGCCCCCTCAGGAACTTGAGGCTCTATGGCCTGAAAACAGCAATTCTCTGAGCAGCCCTGCTGGTCCTGTGAAAGCGCCTGGGGGCCGCCTGCCTGTGTCCCTGAGGTGGGGGGAGGGAGGGAGGGAGGGACGGCAGCAGCGCTGCCTCCCAGGGGCCGTCTTGGCAGCCTGGTCTCCAGGAGCCCTCGGGAGAGGGAAAGGGGGAGGGCACTGTGCGCGAGTCCGCCTTACTCGCCAGAGGTTTCACGTTTTGCAAAGCAGTTAGTTCTGGGGTTAAGACTGTCCAGATGCGTTGGACAAGGCTCAGAGGGAGTGTTTGCCCCCTGCCCCCCCCCCAGGTGGAGATCAGGAGGAGACATTCACAAATCCCTGTGTGAGGCTGGAGATGCGGCCTGAGGAGCAGGAGGGGCTCCTTCCTCATGGCTTTTCTCTCAGCTTCTGACACCCTAGATCGGCTGCATCTGACATGTGGATGTAGACAACCCCTGCCCTCCCTGGGACTCTGCTTGCAGCTCTGCAGCATTTGGTGGCTTCATATCTTATTAGAAAAGAATTTGGATCTTCCCCAAAGCCAACTGTTCCTCTGACTGTGGGCTAGGACAGGGAACTGATTAAGGAGGTCAAATGGAAACCATGGCACAGGGGGAGAGAGGAGCCCAGGTAAAGGCTTACTTACAAAGAAGAAGGTCAAGGATCACAAGTCAGACTAGGCAACAGGATGCCAGGGACAGAGCTGGCCTAGAGGTTGGAGGACAACACATAGGCAGGCACTGGGGCCTTCCTGAGCTACAGGTCTGGGGGCCTGTGCACACCCCGGGGGAGAAAGAACCATAGCTGAGATCAGAAGAGCCGTGCACTGAGCTCTGGTGCCTGAGGGATGCTACTGGGACCCACCACCCGGAGCATAACGCACAGAGGTGCCCCCTCTCACCTCCAGGCAGGCCGCCTGACGGCCCCGGCGCTGTGGGGGCTGTGGCCGTTGGCAGGTGTCTGCGCCTGCATCATGTTCAGAGCCAAATAACCTGCCCAAGGGCGTGTGGGTCGATAAGCAGTAAGTCTGGGAGCTGAGGCTGTCCACTCATTTGGAGCTTCTCCATCACTTCTTCCGAGGGGTCGGCTTGGTCTTCTTTTTCAATCTGGTTTACAAAGAGAAACATGAAAATCCACAGTGTTGCTAAGTGACATACTCTTTCTCCATGCTCAGTTAATAGGACTGTAAATTTATAGACCACCTTTGAGGTTATTACTCATCTGGGAAATCCAGCCTTAAAAATTTCTCTTTTTAATTTCTCACTTCTGGAAGTAACTCGCCAAAATAATATGATAATATTTTTTTTTCCTGGACTGAGCCCACCAAAGATATTCTTTAAGAGATATTCTATTTTTATGTACAATAATTATTGCTTTTCCATTCAATTGTTGCCGATAATTTTGAAACCCAAAATACACAATAAATAAATCAAAATACCATCCCACTCCTAGAAAAACCTGGGAGTTTTTACTAGGAGTGCCCATAGACATGAACACCTAAATGTACGCACATATACCCCGAGGGAATGTGTACTCACATTGTAAATTTGTGACCATATTGACATGTTCTTATTTTGATGGGGAACATACTTTTCAAGAAGGAGATCAACAACATCCAGTAAAGATGTTACAAATATGTGGCCCCCCCAAAAAAATATTCATTGCAAGCTTATTCTCCAACCAAGGGATTAAATTACTTAGATAGCAGAAGTCTATGTGACCACCTTCAAAATAAGGTCATGTCAAATTGTATGAGAACACCATCAAAGTTCTTAATTTAAAAAAATAAACAAGAAAGAAAAAAAGAATACCACTCATCAGTGGGGCACAGTTTTACATTAGAGACTGATCTTACAGAGATCACAGGTTTTCCTGTAATTCGGGGAGTTTTAAAAATTAGAAATAAAATTCATATTCAAGTGTTAACCATAACATTCTCCAAAACCCCAAATTATATGTCAAGCTAACAATGCTGGTGCCCCTCCGACAGGACTGAGGATGTCAGGAAAAATAAATGAAGAAATACTTTGTTGAAACTTGCAGAGTGAATTGTAGCCTGGAAGGTTGGAACACATCCCTTGAAGTTTGGGGAGAGAATCTATGTTTTGTGGATTGCTTCCATGACCTCCAGGCATGGGACAGCCTGTTCATATTAGAATTCCCTATAGGTCCTGCTGAATATGATACCCTGGGCACTGAAACTAGCATGGAAGCCCATATTTCCTGGGTATTACCCAATGCAAGTACTACTGCAAATGGGCCACTGTGGCATCTTGGGTAATATGAGCACCTAATTATCTCATCGGCACTCCCCTGGCAATAGAAGCCACGTTGATGCCCCAGGAGGTGGCCAAATTGTGCAACCTGAACTCCTATTCAACCAGGGGAAGCAACTGAGTTGGGGAGGATCAGCTAGTTGTTAGGATTAAGCGAAACAGTGTATCCATTAGACAACAGTTCTAGTAACATCTCCCTACCTAGAAGTATAAGACTATCAACTAAGCACTTTACAGTAATAATCCATGAGGTAGATAATATCGTCATTTTACAGATAGGGCAAAGTGCAGCTTTCAGAGAGTAAGTGACTTGGGCAGGCAGCAGTGTTCAGACTCCAACCTGATGCCAGATCCCTTGCCCTTTTCACTGGGCCAGACTGACTGCTAGATGTATTTTTAGGTCTCATTCAGTCAGTAACGTCATTGAAGCCTTGGGTTTGGCCCTGGGGATATGAGTGTAAGACAGAGTTCCTGCTCCTGACTCACACACACTCCAGCAAGGGAGATGGGCACTGACTGGGGTGTCAGATACAGCTGTGCAGGTCCCAGCTGAGCCCACGGAGGAGGCGGCCCCTGCTCAGTGTGAAGGCTCTTAAGTCTAAGGGCTATTCTAAGGCTCCTTACCCCTGACAATAATAATGTTGATTCTGCAGACACAGAAGAGGGGTCCTCTGCTCACATGAAATGCCCTGTAACATCATCTCCCTTGACCAATTCAAAATAGGAAAATAATAGGTTGCTATTATGTAAAAAAATCCTATAAAATGTCCTAACTGTCTTCTTGTAGCATAGCTTTGAAGGGTGGAAATGATAGACAGTCCATGTAGCAAAGCAGAAAAACAGCTCAGGCCCATGCAGGGTTGGGGAAGGCAGAGGCATGGGTCTTTGGCCCACACATGGATGGCCATCACATGATTGTTCTTCAGGGCGTCAGTTCTTTCCAAGAAGAAGTTGGCCCTAAATGTAGGTTGGAACTGAGTCCATCACGTAAATCCAATCCCAGGGGCTTCATGTCTCATAAGCCTCAGGTGACATCAGTACCTGGTGATCTTGGGCAATTACCCAAGTTAATCATTCCAGGAGTAATTAGAACCTCTTTGATTCTTTAATCCAAAGCACATTCATGCCCATTCTCTAGTTTGATGATAAAGTATGTCAATCAGTGAACCCTAAGGAAAGATGAAACATATCTTGAAATGAGGATATGAGGTAAAACACAGGTATGAACCTGCATCTCGACCCAAGCACTTTATCTGGTTGGGCTCAAGTCTTTGGGATCTAACCCCTTCTAATGATTCAGAAAGCCACTTTGGCAAGGACTTGATCTTGTTAAAATATTTCTCTAAAAAGAAAATGAACTAAGTGAAATAGCAATTTAAACCACATACAAAAACTAGACAAACAGATCAAGATGGAAAAGATAAAATTGTCTCTATTTACAGGTAACATGGTTGTCAATGTAGAAAATCCCAGAGTCTACCTCCTCCCAAAAAAGCTAGAATAAGTGAGTTTTGCAAGATCACAGGATGCATGATCAATATACAAAAATCAGTTATATTTTTATATACTGGCAATGAACAACTGAAATAGACAAAAGTACTATTTTAATAGTATCTCAAAGCATGAGATGCTTAAATACAAAGCTAACAAAATGTGTGCAAGATCTGTATGTTGAAAACTGCAAAACAAAAAGTACCTAATTGAATGGTGAGATACACCATGTACAGTTCTCCCCAGGCTGACTTACAAACTTAACACAATCCCAATTCCATCCTACCAGGATGTATTCTAGAAATTCATACGTTTGACACTAAAATTTCTGCGGAAAAGTATTGGAACTAGAATAGCCAAAAACAATTTCAAAAGTAAAAAAAAAGGTAGAGAATTTATGCTAACATTTACTATAAGGCTATAGTAATCAAGTTGGTGAAGGAAAGATACATAAGTTAATGAAATAGAATAGAAAGTCCAGAAATAAACTCACACATTATGGTAAACTGATTTTTGACAAATATGCAAAAGTAATTTAGTGGAGAATCTTTTCAACAAATTATGCTGGAACTATTGAATATCCATACGCAAAAAAATTGAACCTCAATCCATATCTCACACCATTTACAAAAAATTAACTCAAAATAGATAATAACGTAAATGTAAAAGTTAAAATTTTAAAGTTCTAAAAGAAAACATGGGCAAAAATCTGTGTGACCTTGGGTTAGGCAAAGAACTCTTACATGCAATACAAAAAAACATGATCTATAAAAGAAAAATACTGATAAATTGGACTTTGCTGAAGTTTAAAACTTTGGTTCTTTACAAAACACTATCAAGAAAATGAGAAAGCAAACCACAAACTGGGGGAAAATATTTGCAAAACATATATTTGATAAAGGACTTGTATCCAGATGTATTTTTTAAACTCTCAAAACATAGTAAGAAAATAACCACCCACTTTTTTAAATGGACAAAAGACTGAGCACACACTTCACCAATAAATGTTTTTGGTAGATGATCTATAAGCTTATTAAAGGATATTGGACATCCTTAATTAACAGAAAAATCAAAATTAAAACTACATTGAAGTACCACAATACATGTATTACAATGGATAAAATTTTATAAGCTGACAGTACCAAGCGTTGCAAGAATGCAGAGCATCCCACATTGCTAGTGGGAATACAAAATGATACCACCACCTTGGAAAACAATTTAGCAGTTTCCTATACATTTAAACATATGCCTACTGTATGTCCCAGCAATACCAGTTCTAGTTATTTATTCAAGAGAAAAGAAAACTTACACTTGCATGAATATTTACAGCAGCTTTATTCATAATCTCCAAAAAACTGGAAACAACCTAAATATTCTTCAACTCATGAATGGAAAATTGTGATAGGTTCATGCATACAATGCAACACTACTCAGCAATAAAAATGAAAGAACTACTGATTCATGCAACATCAACATAGTTCAATCTCAAGTGCATTATACTAAATGAAAGAAGCCAGACTCAAAAGGGTGCATACAGTATGATTCCATTTATGTGACATTCTAGATAAGACAAAACTATAGGGACAGAAGACAGAGCAATAGTTGTCAGGGGCTTGGGGACCGACCTCAAAGGAGAAGAGTGAGGGAAATTTGGGGAGGATGATGAAATTACTGTATATTTTGATTGTGGTGGTGGTTGCATGACTGTGTGCATAGAACTGTTTGTCGAAAAGGTTGAATTCTACTGCTTGCAAGTAAATCTGATATATATGTTAAATACATGTGTGTGTTGTGTGTAATATAAACATACATGGCACTTTTCAGGTTCATGGTTTTCTCCTTTATCTGAATGCAAGTAACTGAACTATGACTTTCCAAAAGTAAACAGTGCTTAGTGATATAATGACCATAATCCTGCTTTTACCCAAATACTACTGCCCTGCTGTGTGTTTTTCCCCAGTAACATTCAACTGCCTGGAAATAGACATGGTGGAGGTAGATGGTGGATTCATTCAGGGTTGGAGTGCTTCCCAAGAATGTGAGACAGATATTCAAAGGGTAGGGGAATTGAGGGTATTTTGGGGAGAGATTAAAACGTTGGGCCATAGCCTCTAACTTGGCAAGGGAGGAAAGTGAAGAAAGGAGGAGTCTGAATAGACATTTTTCCAAAGAAGACATACAGATGATCAACAGGCACATGAAAAGATGCTCAACATCACTAATCATCAGGGAAAGGCAAACCAAAACCACAGTGAGATATCACTTCACACCTGTTAGAATGTCTATTATCAAAAAGACAAGAAATAACAAGTGTTGGCAAGGATCTGGAGAAAAGAAAACCCATTGTACACTGTTGGTGGGAATGTAAATTGGTGCAGCCACTATGGAAAACAATATGGAGTTCCCTCAAAAAATTAAAAAGAGAACTGCCATATCATCTGGAAATTCTACTTCTGGGTATTTATCCAAAGAAAATGAAAACACTAACTTGAAAAGACACATGCACCCTATGTTCACTGCAGCATTGTTTACAATAACCAAGGTATGGAAATATGGAAATCACCTAAGTGTCCATCAGTGAATAAATGAATAAAGAAACTGTGGTGTGTGTATATATATACACACAATGGAATATTATTTCTCCATACGAAAGAATGAAATCTTGCCATTTGCAACAACCTTGAGGGCATTATGCTAAATGAAACAAGTCAGGCAACGAAAGACAAATACCATATGATCTCTCTTATATCTGGAACCAAAAAATAAAGAGAAAAAAGGAAACAAGCTCATAGATACAGAGAACAGATTGGTGGTTGCCAGAGGTGGGAAATGAGGAATGAGAAAAATGGGTAAACTGGGGTATTTTTAGTTTAAATACATTGAATAATTTGTAATAATATAATAATAAATAATGATGATAATTTTAAAATCAAACTAAGGAGGGGCGGGGAAGGAAGGAGTCTGATGGATGGAGAAGGAAAAGTGAGGGGTCAGAGTACCAGAGGCACCTGGTGAAGTTTAAGAACAGCTGCTGCGAGGACACTTGACAAAGCAAAGTGGAAGAAAAGCAGGCTGTCGGTGTGGAGTTGGGTGATTCCACTGGCAATTTCGGAGATGATAGTTTGTTTCCCTCATTGGAGAATAAACTCCATGAGAACACATGGTTCCGACGCAGCTCCGTCCAGCAGAGCGCAGTGAGCCCTCAGCACTGCCTCCCAGCCTGAATGGCCTTGCCACCGAGGTTAACCCCGGATGAAGGTGCTGGGAGGAGGGACGGCTGAGCTGGCTGAACCTCTCCTTCGGCAGATACACAGATACCCCTTAGAGTCACCATTCCTCCTCTCTCTGGGGCATAGGAATCAGGGGCCTCGTTTATTCAATCAGTTACTGTGGTCCATACTCTGAATTGATAAATTAATCACCTCCGGTCCCGCTAAACAAAGGAAGCAACCAGTACTGCCACCTGAAGTACTGAACCAACACCATCTATGCGGAAAACAGAAGCCACACTAGGGGTTTCAGATGAGGGGGTTTAACGCAGGGAATTGATCACACAGATTCGGTCGGCCCGAAAGAGGGCCGTTGAGATAACCGGTTGTTAGTAAACACGGGGAGCAGCTACTAACCTTGGGGGTGGGGGAGCACAAGGGAAGAGATGGTGTTACCAGAACCTAGGAGCTTTGCCGGGGGACCCCCCACGGCTGGTGCCTGGCCCTCTCTGGGGGCTGCTGCGCGGCGGCGGCTTGGCCTTCTGAGGGGGGCGCTGCTTGGCTGGTGGAGGTCGGACTTCCGGGCGGGGGCGTGGCTGGCGTTCGGACCTCGGAGGGGACCGTGGCTTGGCTGGTGCTTTGACCACCGCAGGGGGTGCAGCCGGCTGGAGCTTGGGCTTCTTAGGGGACGTTGCACGGCGGCTGGTTCTGAGAGGGCCAAAAGAAGCTGGAGGCTGGAGCCATGCTCTCCTCTGCGGCTTAAGGGATGCTGGCAGGAGCCGGAAACTGGAAGGCAGGCCCTGCTCCCCCTCCCACCTTCCGATCTCCCTCCAGTACCTTCCAGTGGCCGAGCCTAACAGGGAGCTGACTGTCGGGGGGGTTGGGGAGCCGTTTGCCGAGCCCCAGACCCAGCATCGCGGAGTAGAACAGGCAGCTGGGACTCGGAGCTGAGAGACGAAGTCCAACGCCCGGCCCAGGCGCCGGGTAGGCCGCGCGGACCACTCACCTGGTCTTCTGGCAGGCACAGCAGATCCAGTCCTCCTCTTTCTTCTGGTAGAAGCAGCCACTTTTACAGATGCTGTATTTGCGGTCCACAATCTCGCGTTTGGAGTTGAGGAAGGTGAAGGGCGGACAGCAGTGTATGCTGAAGTGCTCGGAGAACTTCTGGTTCTTGGAGAGTCTGGGGCCCTCCTTAGCCACTTTCTGACTCATCTCACTGGAAATCAGTGATGGAGGGGAGAGGCGGGGAGACATAAAACAGCACATCAGGTGAGGGAGATTTCTACTCAAGGCACCCACTCTCTGCTGCTCCCGTAGTCCGAAGTAACATTCAGGGCTATCCTGTGCTCTGAATCTGGAAGATCGACTTCATGTCCACCTCTATGGAAAGGGGCTAAATTAAGTGCTTGTTCATTTTTATTTGTGTATTTTTCATCGTGTTTTCTGACAATGGACTGTTTTTTCCCTGATGTTTTAGCCACTTATTTAGGGCAGGAAAAATATTACAAGGCCAAGCATTTCCATGGCAGAATAATACTCTAGACGTAGGAATGGCCATTTCTCTAAAACACCAAGAAAGGTTTGTTATTCAAAAGCATAATCACTATCCATACTGTGAAATACTATACCAGAACGAGAAAGAACAGACGGTGGACACACACATCAGTGCGTTTGAATCTCAGAAACGTAATGCTGAACAAAAGAAACCAGACAAAGGAATACAAGCTGTATGATTCAGTTTACATGTGGTTCAAAAACAGGCAAAACTAGTCTAGACCATGGTGCTAGAAATTAGGACATAAAAAATAGTTACATTTGGAGAATGTGGGGTCTGACTAAGAAGAGGCAGGGGGGAATCTGCTGGGGGCCAAAGGTGTTCCGGATCTTGATTTGAGAGACGATTACACATGTGTATACATCTTTAAAACTTCAGTGAGCTTTACACTTAAGTTTTGTGTATTTTATTGCTTATCTCAGTTAAAAAGAGGGAGTAAGAGGAGGGGGAGACCCTAAAAAGAGAATTTTGATTCTTGAAAAAAAATCCAAAAGGGAGGTAAAAAACTTAATTACTACATCTTTTGACAGGCCGGAGGAAGGTATAGCTCAGTGGTAGATTGCATGCTTAGCATGCATGAGGTCCTAGATTCAACCCCAGTACCGTGGTTAAAAAAAAAATGAATGAATGAATAAAAAAATAAAGCTAAGTACCTCCCCCAGCTAAATAAATAAATAAATACATACATACATACATAC